TTACTGACATTTCTAATCAAAATGAAACATGGAGTTTCAGATGAGTTTTTGAAAATCTTGTTCCATTTTTCTTCAAGACAAACAACTAGCTTGATAATATCGAATGTGAGGATATCTCTAATGCAAAGATTTGTAACTAATAATATTGGTTTCGACTCTATTACAAGAGACGATTATATTAATAGACACGTGTCTGTATACACCAATCAGCTATACAACCCTTCCCCCAATATCCCAAAAGCAATTGTGTATATAGACTGTACATATAACAAAATAGAAAAAAGTAGTAATTTCCGGATATTGAGACAATCCTACTGCTTCCATAAAAATGAGCACCTGGTTAAGCCTGAAATTATGGTCGCTCCTGATGGCTACATCTTGGCAATTAATGGTCCATACTTTTCTGATGCTAGAAATAATGATGCCACCATTCTGCAGCATGAGCTACAGAATGATATAAATAGAATGAGGACATGGTTTCAAGAAGGCGATGTAGTGATAGTCGATAGGGGTTATAGGGACTCTATTGGTCTTTTACAGGATCTTGGTCTCCATTACCATATGCCACCATTTCTACCACCAAACCAAAGACAACTCACAACAATCGAAACTAATAGGGCACGCTTAATTACTAGCACCAGATGGATTGTAGAGGCTAGAAATGGGCATTTCAAATCGATTTTCAAATTTTTCCGAGGAGCGATATCAATAACACATGTTGCAAAATTACGCGAATTCTATTTGATTGCTGGCGCCCTAATAAACAAATACCATCCTCCAATAAGGATGCCGGGCACATTGGAATTAGCTACACAAATGTTGCATGATATCGAAGAAGTCAACATTGTTCAGGCCCGAGTTGAGGCTGAAAACCTCCGTACAAGAAATGGTCGATGGTTTCGTTTGAACCAGAGACATGTACCGACGTTTCCTCGACTTGACTTAGAATATTTGAAAACACTCACAGGGTCATATCACATTCACTTAGCTGCCTCCTACATACAAGACACGATACAAAGAGATGGAGGGGAACAAAATACACTCGATATTGACGAACTCATTGAGGAACCCAATTTTTTAAGATTTCGAGTATTTTCTCGGTTCAGAAATGCCACTAAACATATGCTGTGGTTAGTATTCAGAGAAATCGATGATAATAATTTACAAGATCCGCCCATTTTAGGGTACTACTGTACTTGTAGGTCCGGTGCTAGAACATTAGGGACGTGTGCACACGTAGCCAGTGTGGTATGGTTCCTTGGATACGCAAGAAACCAAGGAAATATTACCTTTCCATCTGATCGCCTTTTGAATTGTATCGACGATGCTGCAAATCGATTGAATCCTGAAAATATGAACATCGGTCCGGAACTGATTTGAATCTGGCGATTAGTTGATTTCTGTGTTCCTTGTGAAACATAATTATAGTAGTAGTAGTAGTATATGTCCTTCGTTGGTAGGTATGTACATACCAACCAACCATCGATCCCTAATGAGGTCCTTTAGCCCATAGTGTTCTGAACATGTATCTATATTGTATGTAGGCACGCAACAGTGAATCGTGCAGGACTATCCCCAGCCGATGCTCCGAAACTTCACAATATTTAATTCGTATATTAATATTCGAAAAATTCCTTGCGCTGTCTGGGAATCGAACCCACGACCCCGCAGTCCTGACTCGGGTGCTCGTCCACTGCGCCAATCCTGCCTACACACAATCATATTATAGGTATTGGAACTTTCACTTTCTAACGTGGACTAGGCCTACAGGGGATACCACAATAAAAAAAACGCGCCTGAAACTCTACCTCTCAGGTGGTGGGGAAACGAGTTGGTTTGTCTATTTTTTCAAAATCTGTGATTGAAATTCTTAATTGACATTTTTCTTTCAGGCCTATACTGAACCCGGTAACGAATATCTACATAACCAAAACTCCAACTTTAGTGTCTTTGCGATGTGCATATACTAACTTCGATTCTAACAATATACAGTATGGTCAAAAGATTGGAAGTTGGTTGGATATAGGAGAGTTGCAAAATATATTAACGCGCACCTCTTACTAGGCGTTTGCGGAAGTTTAGTTTCATACTTTTTTCGAAAAGTAGTCATAGGATTGAGTTGGGAAAAACCGCTGTCGACTTCGAACGCTCATGAGTTTTAGCACGTTTATGAGTGGGATCGTTGATGAGTTGAAAGTTGATGAAAGGGGTGCGTAGAATAGTTGTGTCGTTGATGAGATTTTTTCGGGGGCATATTGTGATTTGTTTGATGTTTTCTGAAAAACATTTTCGAGATGTTTTGCTAGCGGACCTATAATAAGACCACTAGATTTTGTTTACGAACAAATCACATTTTTTGACATAGTTGACTAGTGACTACTAGTTTTGCGATTCGGAGCAATTTTTCGTGTTATTATGTAATTACTTTTCCATAATTATTTTCACATTATTCGATGTATAAAAAAAACTAGTCATAGCATGGGTCTGAAAATTCCCAATTTGATTGAAATATCCATACTGAGTATATTGGTGGAAAAAAATCTTACATCGACGGTAATAATTTCGAATTAGAGGGTGATGAAAAAAATAGTGGTTTTTGAATATTTTTTCGTGGTTGTCAATTTTTTCAATCGATGAATCACTCTGTATATCATGGAACTCATTGGGATACATCCTTCAAAAATATTTTGAATGTCTGGAATCAACCCGATAATACGAGGTGGCCCAATGAACTTTAGGATAGACCAATTATGCAATCAACAGCATTAATGAAACACCATGTATAATTATTATATTTTACGAATTCAATTGATGTAAGAAGAGCATACTTGGCTATAAATCTCATTTTGTAATTGTTATCAATTTGTAGCATTGATATTCAGATATTCAAAAAAACACATTATTTGAAATGAGAATCACCCTGTAATAAAAATCAGTTTTGGTCGAATACCTATATAGTTCTTGCGCCTAAGGGCATAACTATTACGTGCTCCCGAAAAATTGGAATTCATTTGTCCTATCTTAGAGATATAGGCCGAGAAAAATTAGGTATTCTTCAACTTCAACACCCTGTATCTCGTAAACTAGTCATAGGATTGAGTTGGGACTTGGCATATTCAATCAGTATGTCGAGTACTATCATTTACCAAAAATTGGGGAAATTCGACGGAACGCCATTTTTATATAGAAAAAGTGCGGGGTCCTTTATTACACATAATCAGATCCACAAAACAAGAGAGCTTCAACAGGATCCCATAATCCATTGATGTATCATACTGTCAAGACATTGAATGATTGCTCTAGAACTTGGTACATGACAAGAAATAAATAAGCACATAAAAAAAATATGTCACGAAATAATACACATCCCTATTACAACACAAATTGTCAAATCAGGTCATTATTCAGAACGAAATCAAACAACTGCTTTCTGAACGATTTAATACTACCATTATTTCTCAGTTTAGTTGGTAGGTTATAATAATAATAATCATTTATTCAAATAGGGCATCCTAATATACAAACTACATTCATTAAAGTTTATAAATTGTAAAGTCTTAAATATAAGTATATTACACAGATGAAGTTCATATAATCCAAACAATAAATAGTGAAATGGAGAATTGTCGATACTATCGACTAGAAAAAAAAAGACTCTGAGGTTTATCAATATCTCATTTTCAAATATCTAACAAGGGATTTCTTAAATGTTCTAAGAGATTCACTTTGTTTTATATCATCTGGGAGGCCATTGTACTCTAGTAGTCCTTTATGGAATAAAGAGTTCATTGAACTAGTGTAATTAAGACGTGGTACATACAGGTTATTATTACCTCTGGTAGGATAATTATGAATTTGATGCTGGAATATGATGAATTGATCAAAGTATAAGGGAGCATTACCAGAAATTATTTTGAAAATAAGTATCATTGAGAAATAAAACAATTATAATGATTAACAGCTTTGCAAGTTATTGAGCTTCGAGTTCTGGTATATTTGAATCTATTTGGCCGTGAATTGTTTGTCACTCTTGTTGAGAACTTTTGAAACTGATTATTAGGAATAAGTTTGATTGTAGTTTTTATGAAGTTAGCATTTATTTCATGAATAGTTTTCGATGATTCAAATTTAATAGCTTTAGCCAAATTTACTGACCCGGTTTCCTTATATACTGTATCAGTTGCTACCAATGAATTTATGCAATATAATACTTTTATTGCCTTATTCTGTGCTATCTGCAAAGATTTTCTGTCACTGGCATTTAAAGCATTTCCCCACTCACTTTAGATATGACATATGAAAATAAATAAAAGAGTAGTATAGTTGTTTCAGTATTCTATTATTGAGTAGTTCCGAGACGAATTTAAAGCATGGACTAAACATTCTCAGTTTATTGATAACACTGGAAAGGTGTTTTAAATTGAGATTGTTATCTATAATCAAGCCCAGATATTCAACACACTCAACTTCTTTAATAATTGAACTGTTTATCGTGATATCAGTTCGTTTGAAGTTACCAACATTTTTTTTTCATTCAAGCATAAATAGTTTTGAGCACACCAACATTCCAAAGTATTTATATCTCTTTCAATTTGGTGTTCTATGTCATCTTGATGCCCAGAGTAAAACACAACTGCATCATCCGCATAGAGGGTAATATTCCATGAAGATAAGAATAAACAAGGTCATTTATGTATATCAAGAACAAAAAGGGTCCTATTTTGACATGTAATCAGATTTTTCAAGATGAGTTCAACATTTTCACGCCTGTCTGTTATTTTCATACAATACAGGTCGGAAACAGGTCCTTGAAAATAAAATTGTGAAGTTTATGACTATTATGAGTACATTTTTTGTTCCATTTGTTTGAATTCATATTTTGAAACACATATTATGTCAACTTTATGAAAAGTTTCCTTGTATTTAGAATTCATCAAACTCAAACTTGAATGATTGTGCATCTTTATTGAATATGATAAAAACAGATTTGATTTACTTACTTTGGTAGGGTCAATAATGCCTCTCTCGAACATGTTGACATATTCATTATTGAGGGCATCATATCCATAGTCTCCTTCATGTTGTTCCACTTTGGCAACAACAGAAGCTCCATCTACTCCAGCATTTTTAGCAATGGTCATGCAAGGTACTCTCAATGCCCTCTTCACGATTTCAATACCTGAAAATCCCAAATTTGCTTCAATGGTGCCACAGTTAATTAGCCCACGAGTTTTGGAATGGAATGAAAATGTCTCACAATCTAGTTCCAAAAAAAAACATTGACTCCAAACCAGTGCAATGTTGATTAGGCAAGCATGTCTTTATCATTGAAGAATCATTAGGAATTAGGAAAGATGTTTGCACACACAGCAAAGTACAACATACAAGGTTCATAATAGAGTTGTAAAATTGTTACACATTGAAATATGTAACATTTTACATTTGTTGACGCCATTTTGTTCAATGAGTCACGTCAAGTTTTGCTTTGCATTTTTCAACATTTTTGAATTAGGGCATCATTAATTCCATTTCATTTAGGTGGCTTCTTAGTTTCATCTTTGATACAGTACTCAATATTATGAAAAAAAAAAAAAAGTTAAAAACGTGTGACCAATGAAATTGATATTCGGAGTTTTGATAGGGGAAATATGTATGTAAAATGATCACATGTATTGAAAAATTTTGAAAAATACAATTCCTTCCAAAAATCAAAAAAATGAGGTCACTCATTGCCGAATGAGACTTATCAAATCTGTGATAATAAAATTTCAATTCTAGAATTCAATTCCAATAAAATGGTTCTATAATATTCGATTTTTCTAGAAGAAATATACATCCTGAATTAAAGGTACTCACTTTTACCATAAAGAATTTTAGACATAGGAAATAATAGAGCATTAGCCTCTAATAAATATAATAATAATCTTTATTATTCCCAAGAAAATTATATGTTTATAGCAGGGAAAATTATGAAAGAGCAACTAAACAAAAAAATTAGATAATCAGATAATCATTTTTAAATCATATACACATATATAATGTTGTTTCTTCAAGAGACTGTTGAATATAATTTCTTGAATTGATTCAGGATGATATAAGATAATCAAAGACATAAGTATTTTTTAAGTTCTTTTTTGAATTTCTCAACACTTAATTTTTTCTTCAATTCAAGAAATGAAGTAGGGCTTTGAAGCATTGTCTACCTTTTAAAAAATCTATAATTGAAAAATTGTGAATGCATGTAGATTTGTTAACACAAATTAGCTCATTCTAAAGTATATTTGAAGGTTAGCTGGAAAAAATATATTCATCCCTCACAAAAGAAGTTATGCACGACCGGGCGTAAAGTAGCACTATACCGCCCGGTTTTGCGTGGGTTAAGTGCACTTTACCGCCCGCCAACTAATAAATATAATAGTAATCTCCTATTTCAAAAAATCGAATGAGTTACCATGGTAACGTTGATTCCATCAATGATATTCCTCGCTGCAGCCATAATGTATTTCTATCGTTCTTGAGAGGTGAAGAGGTACATATTCACAAGGAAAAATCAAATATACCGTTGTACATAAAATGCCATCCAGTGACTCTAGTTTACAGGTATTATTGTTTCAATATGAATGAAAAATTAGAATGTTCTCTCATACAATATACAGGGTTATTTGTTATTCAATACATTCCTTTGGAGTAACAGAGTATAAAAATTCAATTGGTTTTCGAGATATAATTTTAGCCGGATATATTTCATTTTACACGGATGAGAAATTATGAGAAATGCTTGAGTTGTCTTGGATTCCTCAATGTATTGACACATTGACAAGCAGTGACAGTCGACTATAACCACAAATAAAATTCGCATCTAGGGAGCTGACTTTACAAATTGAAATGTGTTTGGTGGTTAATTTGAATTTGTTAGCTGTTTGTTAATTGTAAAAATACTGGGAATCGAATACGTTTATAGAAATTTTCATCCAATAGAATACTGTCACAGAACAAGAAAAAAATATGAGGCCGAAAAATTTAATAATAACAACAGAATTCTATTGAGTGAAAAACATACAATTTATAAATACAGTGGATGTCTAAAAGAAAAAACCGATTCAAAACAAAAATCATAGGATACTTGCCGAAAATTCAACTTATTTCCAACAAATTTCAAATGCAGAAGTCTTGATAATCAAAAATTCAGAGCAGAAATATTGAAAAATGTCAAGATTCACGAGTAAAAGAGAATGAAAAATTCACTAAACATTATTTAATAATACCTAATAGATGGGATGCAGAGTTTGGAACAAGCGTTGATGAAATGTACACGAGATTCTTCTGGTTATAACACTATCAATATTGCAATCCGCAGTAGCATCGCTGGGAAAAAGCCGAAAAAATTGATTGGTGTGATCAATTTCCATCATTATTCAATTTATCTTTCCCTTATTCACTCCAGGACACGCCATATAGTCTCAGTCAAAAATGAAATATAAATGGATGTACTCTTCCCTGAAGATGAAGAGGACGGAAGATACAAGAAGCCTTTATCTAAGTGGAAAAAATTATTGTCCTTGAAAAAAATAGAACTTACCGATGGCTTGGTCATTATTGGGTGGCTTGATGGAATTCAAACTGTTGCTGCATCTCAATAGGGCAGTACCTCCTCCGGGTACGATACCTTCTTCTACTGCAGCCCTGGTGGCGTTCAGAGCATCAGTCACTCTGTCCTTCTTCTCGTTCACCTCCACCTCGCTGCTACCACCTACTTTGAGAACGGCTACACCCGAGGCTAATCTCGCCAACCTTTCTTGGAGTTTTTCTTTCTCATATTCGGATGTTGTGGTGTCGATTTGGTCCCGGATCTGTTCTGCACGCCTATTGAAATTGAATTTTTCGATACGATTTTTTCTGAGGTGACACTAACAATAAGACGCCAGATATACATGCATAATGATGATAATGATCTGGTGGAATAATTAACTTTGTTTCGAAAAAAATTTGATGTCTCATTTCTAAACTGAAACGTTTGAAACACATATTAAGCATTCCTAGTTTGGAAATATGATCTATTTTGCTTTTAGACTGAGAGTTTCAATGTGACCCGGTACAGTCAGAATTTGGAATGTGGAACACTAAGGCGCGACTCTGCCTGGTCGGTCTGGGGGATTTATGTTGAAGCGAGCGGGGAAAGTTGCAGAGTTTCAAAGATAATCGAAGTCATTAGTACAGTCATGAAATTTCGTGTACATATAGTATGTGACGTCAGAAAGACAGTTTGATAATTGGCAGACCGTTTTCGGGGGGCTAAAGTGCTGGCAGACCGCGTCAGTTGCGAAAAAAAATCGAAAAATCAACGTGATAAGATACGTCTTGAAATTAGGTATACATATTGATCATATATCAACTTGCTGTTAAGCTGAATGGCAGACCAAAAAGTGGAGGATAACATCATGGCAGACAGCGATGAACCTACATGGTGGAAAAGTTTTAATGACCAAAACTCGAGAAATTGATAGAACTCGATGAAATAATAGAATATATTCCTATAAACATAATTATGCTCTAATGGAAATACCCCTGTATCTTTGATAATTGTTGAGTTAGTATTCTGAAATTTTCAGTTCACTGGTTTTTTATGTCTCCTGAACATTTTTCAGATCTGAAAAATTAAACTTTGCCTTACTTTTAATGGAAGTACCTCCGTATCTTACGTGATTGACGTGATCTTTAGCCCCTCCATTTCTCCAACAAATTTCAGAACCCTACCAAAATAATTACGTAAGATACGGGGGTGCTCCCATGAAAACTGAGACGAAAACTGAAGATGACACCACTTGGTTATAGTGTGTATTTTCATTATCTCTCCTGCTCCTGCAAATTTCACAATCCTAACTAAACAATTACGAAAGATACTGGGGTGTTTCCATCAGAAGTGAGACACACTGTATATATATATCCTTTAATTCTCAAAATTTCGATTTTGTTGATATATATGTATCGCTGATATTGTGTAGGTACACTAAGAACATGGGTATGTATGAATAGATTTGAAAAAAACGGTAAGATTTCTAGAAAATTCTAAAAAGCATTACATGTTTCACTAACACTAAACACTAAATAAATAAATAAATAAATGAATAAAAAAGTTTTTTACAAGCCAGTCAACCAGCACAAAATATAACAGAGATACATGATGGGTAATCAAGATTTCATCTGGGGCAGCGTAGATAATTCTTTGCAAGTTCATCAGATTCAGCAAGAAATTTTTCTGAAGATCTGAATGTGAGTTAATTACGTTCACCAACGTCCTGATGAATAAATGGTCACACCAAATTGTTTGTACTAAATGTATTTACTCTTACAGGAAATCTAGATATACTTGAAAAACAATTACCTGTCAATGTCTTCTTTTTTGCCTTTTCCTTTCAGTAGAAGAGTATCATCTTTTGTGATGGCTATCTCACCAATCTGTCCCAAGTCCGATAGCTTGATATCTTCAAGCTTAACAATATTGGCATCATCACCAAATACGATACCTCCAGTAGCAATAGCCATGTCATGGAGAGTGGATTTTCTGTTGTCTCCAAAACCTGGAGCTTTCACAGCAGCTACTTGTAAACCAATGCGAAGTCTGAAATAGATAACAGTGTACCAAGAGCGTTCAAATAGGTCTTTGAGATTGACACAAAATACCATTTTACGCTGAGCGCTGCTTTTGACGTATTGGATATCATTATTTGTTTTTTCTTCGTTGGCAACATTTACGATTCTGTCATTTTACAAAATGTTCAAATTCTCTCGTGTTCAGTGCTGTCGTGTCAAGAAAATGTCGGTTCAAATTCAAATTTGAAATTTCGAACTTTTGATCAAATTTGGACAGATAAGCAAAAACTTATAAATACTGATGAATCGGGCAAGGGTTTGATTGAAATCATGCCGTACGAACTCAAAGAAGTTTGCAGTATTTGTACTGGTCTAGGAGAGCCTAGACTGTTGAAAACTGTGCCAAGTTCACCAACTTATTTACTTGGAAAACAAAATCTGGAATCACGAGATTCTCCTCAGCTAGATATTTGCACTATTGCCTAATTTATTGTTACCATGTACCAATTATCCCGTTTCAGACAATAAAATTGCAAAGGACGAAGGGAAAATTGAATGAATAATAATTACACTTTATTACATGTTTACGAATTTGATGGTATGGATTGTACCTCGTGAGAATATGAATTCAGTGAAGGTGTATTGAACAACCTATATACAAAAACTTCATTCCAATGTATTTTCAATATAAACATTATTACAAAAGAACATAAAGCATTGTTTATTTCTCGTACATGGTCAAAAACACTGACAAACTATATTTGATTTTTCTCATGATGTTAGCCTCTACTTCAGCGCCCAATCCAATACAATATGTTGACTCTAATATATTCAGGTTGTGTTCCATCGAATATTATGGATTATTTACTTTCTTCGACTTAAAACATCCTATATCCTTCTGTATAGAATCGGAAGGACCCATTTTGTCGTCTCCTTCATAATATGGTTATTATCTGTGAAACTATCAACACCTTTTTTTTTAAATTATGAATATTCGCTTTATATTTCCTCTAGTAGAAATCTGATATTTATAATCGATCAATGGTTTTAATCTCGATGGAAGTACCTAATCAAAACCAGATATCAGTTTTAATTTTTCAATTTGACGTGCACCGTAAGAATGACATTCCATTTTCAGATTTTGTGCATGATATTTGAAAAATGAAAAAATATATAATTTGATATCCCGAATAAGTTTCAACTTGAGCCACATTCTGCGTAAAATGGCCTATTATTAAACTTGTTAGCACACATGGGCTCCGTGGCCGAGTTTGTCTATTCGCTAGATAGCCGTTCACGATGCAGAGGTACTGTCGGTTCGAATCCGGCTATCGGCTGAGCATTTTTCTTTAAAATGTGTGATTGATGGTTGTAATCCTGGCAGCACCTCGATGCCCTAGAAGTGGTTCGGATTCCACTATAAGCTGTAGGTCCCGCTCTTCTTAACCCCGCACAAGTTTCGACTTCTGGGGAGTTGGTTCCCAACTTTGAAGTAGCGATATACAAATTTTACAAATTTTTTTTACACATCAGCATACTGTGTGTCCAATGGACACTGCGGTTATGCATGGTGTGATCAACAAAATCTCTAACTTCAAAAACATGAATCATGGAACATGTATTAATTATGATGGTGTGAACGAAAACAAGTTATTTTCTGAAGTATACAGGCTTACTGACAAAAGACGCCTCAAACCATAGCGCCGTTATTTATTGGCCAGTGGCAAGGTGTCAATATTTCCAAGAATATTTCGCTTCTCTCTCAAGATAATATCCGATGGACCAGTGTAATACACATGTGGTGCTCGCACTACGAGTAAACAAATCCACATGTAGTTTCACACTGGTATATCGGATATTATCTTTAGAGGTGAAATATTCTCGGAAATATTGACGTTCTGTCACAAACTTGAATCAGTTTGAATCGCGGTACGTTTGGATATTCGCACAGGGAACATTATCCCCTTTCATTTGCTTATTGTTTCAACTAGTATTCAACGGAAGTATGTCTGGAATAATGTCAGCAAATAAATCTCTATGCCATGGATCTGCCATAAAAAACATGCCTATGGAACATAAAACATTTCGTTATCAGATGTTGGTCGAAATATGCTGCCGGCTCTCTTACTATTACCGTTCATGATAATTTATAGTATGATGATAGTTGTAATTATGTAACCCCAAATGAAATGATTGGTAAATTCCATTAGTCGTTCATACCGTCGTATTGAAAATTTTTAATGACAACGAATTGATTTTTTCTTTACCATCTACATATAACAGATTGTTATTTTATACGGGGGTTACATAATGATATAATGAAATCTATCATACTACAAATTATCATAAAAAACTATGGCCGAACAGTACCAAATAATATTGTTAACGAAAATTGGATCTTAACACTACAATAATATAAAATCATAGCCGAATAATGATGTATAATACACGCATACTCTACACCCTTCAAAGTACGCACTCAAATTATTTATTTAATCACAGTATCTTGCGACATATGCCGAATGGTAATAAGCGGACCCCATCCTTTTGTCCACGATTTCTAATCGGAGAACTAAAAGCGTGTAGTGGAAGGCGGGATTTAGGGGGGTTCTTAAACTGCTGACGTTCTAAAGCTGAGATGACAATTCGGAAATGTCAGTGGTGACAAGCGTGTCATCACTCTTCAGAGGGCGTAAAATGAGATGTTCAAGGCTCTAGATCTATCATACTTGGTTCATCTCATCAAGTATATTTTATCACATTTTATAATTCTAATTCTATCACTTGCAACACACTATGTAATTCCTTCATACTAAAATATTGTATGCCATTTTAAATGCTGGGATCTTTGAGTGAGCAAAACAAGTCAATGGCTCCCTCAGAAACTGCAGTATAACATTCTCGGAACTAGAAATCACAGCTGGACTGGCAAACAAAAATGAAACAATAGATGAACATTTGAATAGAACGACACTGTTCATCTGTACATCTTTAATTCGCGATAGAAAATAGCATGTTGCCCTACCTGACGGCAACAACTTGAACACTTCAGAGCGGTTTGTTTTGATGATGTAACCAATGAGCACAAACAATAAAACAAATGCGAACCAATGAAAACAAAGTAAACAGGCCGCTTTAACAGCTTTCAAAAACACTGTTAGGTGGCGTACGCCTATTTTCTATCCCAAATTGTTTAGTAGCTCATGGAACTTCATTAAAAATCTTTATTAAGATGTCTCAATGCTGTATTGCGCCTTTGGAACAAACACAGACTACAGGTGAATCCTAACCTCCCTTCTTATAGGTCGCGTGCACGATAACCGACCCTGGAGGTGAATCATTGAAACACAACCTCACTTTTCTGTAAAACATTGATACACAACATCAAATTACTTATTTGTTCACATAGGAATCAAAGGATTGAAATAGTTTTCCACAATATTTCTGCATTCGAATCATGTTTTAGCTTTTAATTAATTCAAGTATGCCATCACATTGTGCTGTTGTACAATGCACAAAAAATGCAGCTAGAGACGAATGAATATGATTTCTGAGGTAAATAGTGATCTCAGTTCTCATTATGGAATGTTGTCATTTTTCATTAGAATTTTTCCTGCGACTTCTGCAATAGAAGCTAATACTGCTAATAGAGTGAAAATGTCGGACGAGTCCTCCCGTTTGATAGCATGAATCCAATCTTCTTGCTTTCTTCTAGAAACTTCACGAGTATTTCTATTAGCTCCTATTGCAGAAGGAATTCCAATGAGAAATGACAAAATTTCAAAATAAAAACTATATCTGAGTGACTGTAGTACTTTTAGATCACAATGTACCTACCTGAAAAATTGGATTCCCTCGTCTCTCAGTGCATTTTTTTTTGTATTGTATAACAACACCATGTGACACGATTCGTATGCAAAAATAATTGTGAAAAACTATTTCAACCCTTTGTAAACGAATAAGAAAAATTAGTTTGTTTCAATTTTTCACCTCCAGGTCAGTCATGACAGATCTTGCAAGCAACCCATTTATATAATTTCAATGCATGTCATGTAGATGACACCTCAGCCCCACTAGTGCCGCCACGAGGAAGCAATATAGCAATATACATCTTTACTTTTTCGAACTCATGACAATGTTTCCCCTGTTGGTTCACGTTAACTTAGTTTGAATAAAAAATCATAAAAATCAGAAGAAAGCAAACTTTGAAATTGAAGTGGCAATTTGTGGTGGCCGTATTTGAAAAACAAAAAGGAAACATGATTAAATCAACAAAATCAGAAGAAAGCAAACTTTGAAATTGGAGTGGCAATTTGTGATGGCCGTATTTAAAAAAAAGGAAACATGATAATGAAGTTATAGTTATCTATCTATTTATCTGTCTACCTATCTATCTATCTATCCAAATCAAATGGAATGCTAGGGTCAATATCATAAATGTATTAAGAACTGTGTACCCTTGTACACTATTGGGGTCTCTCATTTGATCAAAAAGTGTTCCATTATGTAAAACTAGAAAATGTGTGTAATGAAAACTTGTTCAATGTTTTTCACCAACAGTGATGGGTATCTAGTACCAATAATTGAAATTAATATAGGGAGATACATATTTTTTGTTTGCAAACATATTAGTAATAGTAGAGAACATATAATTGAAAATTTACCAACCTATTGACTACAAGTGTAGTTAGGGCTTCACCATCAACATCTTCGGCAATGATAATCAGAGGTTTCCTTTGAGCATTAGCTAATTCCAACGCTGGTACGATGCTCTGTACAGATGAGATTTTCTTCTCACTAAGAAGCAAAAGGGCATCTTGATATTCTACCTTAGCTCCTGTAAGAGGACAAGTTATTATGAGTACATTTGATAAAAAGTACACTGATGTCCCATCAAATATCATAATATAGCTAGGTTCCAAAAATAGGAACAATCTGATGCTTTGAGAATATTTCTCAAAGCTTTAATGAAAATATTATCTAGAAATCCTTCAAAACATATAATGTCAACCAACATTTTTACAGTGGTATTTCAAAAAGCACAAATTCTAATTCAGAAATAATAAATTAGATTTCAGAAAGTATAAATATCATTTTAGAATAGTCGGTATCAGAAAGTGTTCTATCTACTTCACTAAACTCAATTTATGGGCACGCTTGGAAGCTCCTGCCTGGCACCACTAGGCCTACTAACTGGACAGTGCATGCTAAGCATGATAATAAACGTAAAACATATTTATTTGAGCAAAAATTATGCAAAGTTATCTGCATACCTGAAACGCGCATCAGAATATGAATACAAATATGAAAAATTGAAAACTTTGACTCCTCAGCCAATCCAAGAGTTTTTATCTACTACGTTCATGAATCTTATGGTATTATGTATTATGTTCTCAATTCCCATTTCCATATTTATTTTCCGGAATTATAGGATCTTCTTGAAGAGAGAAATTATGAGTTCCTAGAAAGAGTATAGTATGTAACGCGTTTATAAACTATTCTAGAAACTCGTTTATTAAAGACAAAAGGACATTTATTATCAGGCTTAGCTTCTTAATAAATAATATTATTGAGTATATATACAAGACAGGACATTTTTTTCTCTTTCCTATTTAGTTTTAATGAAGATATAATCTCCTATACCTACTATACCTACCTACATTGTATAGAACCTCTGAACTTCATTGAGTTTTTTCTATGGTTTTAGAATTATTATTGAAACTACTGCAAAACCTGACGAAAAAAAAATTAATTTAATCATTTTCCTACAAGATATTACGAGGGGAACATAAGTAATTTGTTATAAAATCTCGATTATATGAGTAGATTGTAGACTGAAAGTATGATTGTAATATATCGTTGGAAAGGCAATTTTATACTGAGCCGTTATTTTTTAAATATATGTATACATAGCATTAGAAATAAAAAAAAGGTTGCACTTCCGGTCAAACCGGATACTAGGTGAATTGGTTCCGGGTCACCCGGTATATGCAAGGAATTAATAAAACATACCTTTCGTGGTGTTGACAAAATATGGAGAAATGTAACCACGATCGAATTTCATTCCTTCAATGATTTCCAGTTCGTCATTCAAGGTCTTCCCGTCTTTAACTGTGATAACCCCTTCCTTTCCGACTCTCTTCATAGCATCTGAAATTAGGTTACCAACAGAGACATCTCCATTGGCGGAAATAGTGGCTACTTGGCAGATTTCTTCGGGTGTGGTGACGGGTTTGGAGAGTGTTTTCAGAGTTTCTGTTATTTTTTCAACTGCCACCATGATGCCTTAAAAAGAAAACCATGGTATAGCAATAGGTTTTTATTCTTCTGTATGTTCTATTTCCAATGTAGTTCCTCATTAAAAGTTGTAATCAGGATAATAAGATCAGTAATTGGATCCATGTTTCTAATCATTGGTGGTAAACCTAGTGTTTAATAAATATTTTTTCTAACAAAAATATAGTAACATTCTTTTAAACTATAAATTGGGCCTACATTTCTATGAGTGTGAATTTTCATTGCTCCTATTATTATTCATCTTTCAATTTTTTTATGGAAATGTGATCGTTGAAATAAATGAATAAATAAATAAATAAATTAAAACGAAGCGTTCTATAGAGAATCAACAAGAGGGTATTTTCTGTACATAATTGAATAGCCTTCCATAAGATTGTACGAAATTTGAAAATTTTCTGTCGTTACTTTCAATAAACAAACATATAAACAAAAAATATTCCCGTAACGGTGCCACTGGTAGAGAAAATGAAGATTTTTGTACAGGGTTCAAATTTGGCAGAGGGAATTTGAATAGCTATGTGTAAGGTATATTTTTACGTATTTTAACATATTCCAACTCTTTTCAAAATGGCGGAATTGGCGTCAGAATAGTTGTATTTTCCAGTCACTATTTTTTCTCATATTCTGAAAAAACATATCATCTTTATCATCTTTCTTCCCAAAACTTTTTTTATATCTTCATCAAGTTGATAGCTGTGGGACTCCAAATTTGCCATTTTCAAATAAACCTCAAATGACCCCGCCGTAACAAACAAAAATCAAGTCTGCCGGAAAACAAATTGTTTTGTGAGCAATTTGATAAATTTTATACATTTTGCATTCATTTGAAACCGATTGAAGCTAAAAACCGGCCGGCTCGATTTCTATTACGGCGGGGTCAAGAATTATTTAAAAATTATTTTCTCAGTCACAATTTTTTCTCATGTTCTGAAAGAGCTTATTTTTCAAACGACTTTCATCCAGGAATTTTCTTCTATCGGTCGGCCGGTTTTTAGCTTCAATCGGTTTCACATGAATGCAAAATGTATGGAATTGCTTACAAAACAATTTGTTTTCCGACAGACTTGATTCTTAGTACGACGGGGTCATTTGATGTTTATTTGAAAATGCCAACTTTGGAGTCCCACAGCTATCAACTTAATGAAGATAGAAAAAAAGTATTGGGATGAAAGATGTTTAAAAACATATGTTTTTTCAGAATATGAGAAAAAAAATGGCAACTTTGTCGAAAAAATAACTTTTCTGACGCCATTTCCGCCATTTTGAAAAGAGTTGAAATATGTTTGAATACGAAAAAATATACCTCACACACAGCTTTCCAAATCCCCTCTGCCGAATTTGCATTTGCAGTTCCACTTTTCCTGTTATGGGCGAAGGGCGGGAAGTTTGAATCACCCTCTACATCAGAAAATCCACCTTGATGCATTAAAGACGTGTACCAAATTTAATGAAGATGTAAACAATATTGTCTGTTATTATCAAAAAACTGAATATTTTTCAATACTTCATGACCCTGTATCTCAAAAGTTAAGATATTTAGGACATACGTTCATATGGAGTATTCTTCTTAAAATAAATCAAAGAATCACCCCCTCAAATATCAGCATATCTTAAAGGAACACCCTGTGTAGATACATGAGTCTTGGTAGAGTTGTTTGAAATAGCTCTAGATTGACTTTAAAAGATATGCTCACTGAGCTTGTCTCGTTTGTCTGACTGCTAATGCTTATGATGGAATAGCGAAAATTTCCGTTGCAGACAAGAGGAGTGGCATCACCAACCAAGCTGCTCAGGTGTAAAGACTGCATGAAATAAGAGCAGCTTTTGTGACGGATAGGACGGATAGACAACATTTCTCCATGAAAGTGTAAATGACTATCGAACATAGATATTGTGGACTTTGTGGGAATAGTGGTACCAGACATTGTTATATCAAATATCTGGCATACTCATTTCAGCTTTTTTAGATAAAATACAGGCATGAGTTCTGGTAGTTTTGATTTCAACTAGTTTGTCAGTTGCTAGGCCTGAAATTATAGCAAGATCTTCATTAACACCGTTGACCTATCTTTGTCGTGAGTTCCTAGTTTTCTAGGATGAACTGTTCTGTAAAGAACGCAGTATGGAGAGTATTGTCATCTGCAAAGCTGTGGATAGGGCAGGAGGTCAAGCAGAATGCGTCTGATAGAGCAATGGCGGAAGATAATTTCGGTCATTCCAAATTTCAACAGAAGAAATATCTGGCGGCTCTCCCTGGGAATCGGAGTGAAGTCTGCTGCAAACATTTCTGCATGAATGTTGACTTTCTTTTGCAATATTGATTTGAGTAATTAGACTAGTGCATGAAAATCTTCGATAATTTATTATTCTAGTATATATCTCACGGAACTTGAACCTCAATTATTATTTATTGCATTTCAAGTATACAATTATTTGTCCTATTTCAATTTTCTAGTCTTGATTGGTAAACATGAATCTTATAATATTTTGATTGATTGATTGTCTTCATTACCCCAGGAAACATTATTGTTTATAATACATATAACGTTATTAATCAGAACAATAATAATTGCACAATAATAGTTATGTATGTACCAAGGGCGAAAAACTGTATATTATAGTCGAGTCTGCAAATTAATAGCGAAGGCTAGCGATCAGGCGAGACAATAGACAGTTTTTCGCCGAGGTTCATATTCAATTTTTTTGTCGACCTCAAACACTAATATCCACATCACGGTCCAGTTCACAGGTGAAATCTATCGGATTTCATCAAATGACAGTTGTTGGCAACTCACTATCAGCGCGGACCAAAGTTGCCAGTTCGATTTTATTTCATCAGTAAATATCTTGTCAAAAATTCAGATCTATTTTATGCTATATGAAATCCAAGAAAGGATAATGAAATAAACCTATAACGTCACAACATTACGTTCTTTTAGTAAACAGAGAAGAAACCTATTTCCAACAAAATAGAAACAAATTAAAAATACTCACGAATATCACAAAATACAGTTACATAGGTGAATATAAAATTTGAGTACATAAAAAAGAGGAACGAATAGTAAACATAAACAAAAAATACAAAAATAAAGAAATTATACGTGAGAAACAAACTGTAATAACAGAGGTATATATACAAAATTGAATTTGATCTGAATCAGATAAAGTATTGTACTTTTTTGGTTTATACATATCATTAGTACCTATATGTGAATTTATTACTTATTTTGTGAAATTAATTTAAACAGAGCGTGTCGAAATATCATGCAATTCATAAGTGCAGGTGATTGACTAAAGATTGATAATAATATAGGTAATCATAAAAATAAATGTGAAAATATTGTTCCGTAGGTTATAAAATATGCAAATTAGAATATACTGAAAATTCAGTAGAAAAGTGTTTGCGGACAAAAAGTACTTGCCTTCGGTCTTTCGTTCGGAAATTAAAACGTAAAATGATGTTTAGTAGAGGTCGACGACAAACTCATAAAAAAATTATATAAAAAAAAAAACATAGAATTAAAACGTTATCCATTTCAATTATTATAATCAAATCGTGAATGATGGAATCAAAAGAAAATAGCAGATATTTCTTCAAATTGATTTTGAAACTTCCTTTTATATTTTTCAGCTCATTAGGTAAGGAATTATATCAAGTTATTCCACTATGTAATATTGATTGTTTACCAAAATTTGACTTATAATTATTTCTTACCAATAAACTTAATTGCCTTATTTCTTGGGCGTGAATCGTATTAACTTCATTAAAATCCAAATTTGATATTTTCAAATTCAAGGGATGAAATAACAAATTTTTAATTTATATAATGAAACTAGATTCAGCAAGTCTTTAGGTTTGTATAGATTTACAGTTGGTTCTAAAAAATGCAATTCAAAAATGTACTTCAGTTTTATTTTTTAATTTCATGAGTGGTTTTAAGAGTGAAATATTTGTACTTCCATAATTTGATATTATACAGGGTGTTATTTAAGTACGTGGCCAAACTTGAAGGGGTGATTCTTTGAGTGATTCTAAGACGAAAAGTTCATATAAACATAGGTCTGGTAATGCTTCGTTTTCAAGATACAGGGTGTCAAAATTTTTGAAAGAAATTGTTTTTTTCGTAAATATCTTAATAACCCTTCAACTGATTTCATTGAAATTTGGTAGTGTTATTCAAGGTCGTAAAGGGCTAATTTAACCCTAACTATATCAAAATTATCATGTCCAGTGGCGTCCCGGAAGGCACTGTAACCAATATTTTTGACAGAAAAAATGTGCGCCACTGATTTTTTTGCAATTTTTGTATTTGTTTCACATTGAGCAACTAAAATTACAACTTTTTCATATCTAGAATTTTTTTCGTATCTTGCTTTGTTTTTGAGAAAAAACATAAAAATCACTTCATTGCACATCCCTGTGACAACACAATAAAACATTTCAACTACCAAACCATCAAAAACTGGGGTCTTACTAATATTTTTGATATAGTTAATGTTGAATTAGCCCTTTACGACCTTGAATAACACTGCCAAATTTCAATAAAATCGGTTGAAGGGTTATTAAGATATTTACGAAAAAAACGATTTCTTTTAAAAATTTTGACACCCTGTATCTTGAAAACGAAGCATTACCGGACCTATGTTTATATGAACTTTTCGTCTTAGAATCACCCAAAGAATCACCCCTTCAAGTTTGGCCACGTACTTAAATAACACCCTGTATATTGTAAATTTGAATAAATAAGACAGAAATAAATACTCTTTAGGTACCTAACGGAAATAAAATTTTGAATTTTATATAAAATACCTATAAAATACCTGCTTGAGTCCACGATAATAATTGTTCACCAATATGGAGAGCTAAATATTTTTCAACATTTGAATACTCAATGGATTTGTTATCGAAGCATATTGGGGTATCATTCAATACGTCAGTTGTTCTTTTTGAGATGTACATATACGTAGATTTATTATAATTAAGAGTC